AGAAAGATGTTTTTAAGAGATTTGTAAATGTTTTGGAGAGATTTCTCCACTTACAAGTGTATGTTAGGCAGTAGCAGACATTTGTATATCTGTTTGGTTTAGGACAAGTGATTTTTATTGTTTAACCTCTTCTCTTGACACAAGTCCATGTTATAAACGACAGTGAATCTACCTGGCAGTCTTGACAAGAAATTAAGAAGTGAGTGAGTTTGAGGATGAAATGTACCCCTGAAAAATCAAGGCTTTAATACAGAATTAGCATGGAGAGTGGATTTTTAAGTGTGGTGCCTATCTTGTTGTCTTAGTATGAGTGGTGGCATTGGTGTCTGTGTGCGTTTGTTATTGATCTGCTAAGTGTCTGTGTGCGTTTGTTATTGATCTGCTAAGCATGTAGCCAGAAAGTTAAATGTCTCTTGAACTGGAGATATATATGTGTGTGTGTGTATATATATATAAAAAATAGATAATAATAATAATACTAATGAAGACTTGAGGGGGGGTTTTGTTGTGTGTTTTTTTCTTTTTGTAGTCTCCTACTTTCCTGATTTTTTTAAATGTGAAACTAATTACTTCCATATCACCAAACACTTCTATTTAAATACTGTAATGCTCTAGCAATACCCAAAGGGACAGTTTGGAACTTAGTGGAGATGAAACATTAAACTAACTTGAGCTTTATATTGGGAAGTGGAAAAGCATTGTGATGCAGTTGTGCAGTCTTTTTTTTTTAAAAAAAAAAAAGAAAAGCTTTGGAAAATGGGGTGAGGGACACACATGGGTTGTGGGGACACAGCTCAAGAAGCTGCTGTAGAAGATGATAGGAGGAAATGGACAGCTGGTGGTAGATGCATTTAGTTGTTTTCATATCCAGATTGTCAAAGCAGTGAAACAAAACTCACGTGATGATCCTTCAGAGGAACACATCAGTTCTTTTCTAACAGGAAAACAAAACTTGCTTTATACTAACATTGTATCTTGAGTATTCAGAATGCAGTTTTGTCACCTCTCTGCTTTGTTAGTGTCTGGAAGTAGAAATAAGTTTTAGCAATAAAACTTTAAATAATAATAACACCATGGCAGTTTAGAGAGCTTCTTGAATTTTTTCTAGATTGTCTCTGAATGAATCTATGTTGCACTCCTTTGCTCTTGAATCTCTGCTGTGTCATTGTAGAGAATTAAAAAAAATCCTATAGGATTAAAAGCATGGTTAATGGACAGTGGAATGTGTCCTCAGTTAAATGATCTCCTCTCTTTAACAAAACAAAACAAACAACCCCCAAAAAACCTAAACCGAAACAAAAAAAAAATCATCAGGAAGCTTATCTGTGTATGGGAACTCATACAATATGTAATGCCTGAAGAAAGAGATTTTGCGGTGTACTTATTTTCTCTTGTAACTTCTTGCTTCAGCAGTAGCTTGAGATGGTAGTGGGGAAAACCTTGTGTAAAGGGAAATAAGTGTTATAAATGGGATATGATTATGCTTCATGACACTTCTACAGAAAGCTCGTGTATTGTCTTCTTTTTCAGCCATCAAACAAGTGGATCAAAGCCGTAAGTTGGTTATAAAAATAGCCATGGCTGTTTTGTGAAGCACCATGGTTAAGGAGTACTTACAGAAGAGGCAACTATTTTTAAGTTGGTCCAAAAGAGTATGGGATGTGGCTCAAAATCTTACTCGTAAGAATGCTCACTGTACTAGGGATCGTAACATGCTTAGATTCATTTTTCTTGGAAGAACTACGAAATTTTTTAACTCGATTGGAAGTACAGCATAGCTACGCTAGGGAAACTTGTTAAAGCTAAAAGAGGTAACTAGTAGCAAAGTACTTACCACCTGCAGAGAATTCAAGATGTCATGCTGGAAGTACAGACTAAAAGCATGCCAGCTATCAAGGGAGGTGTGAAAGGAAGCTGGCATGGCTGAACATCAGGCAAAGATAGTTATTAGAAAGCTGAAGTGGTATCCAAATAAGGAAAATGGTAAGGATATAAAGTCTGGCAAGTAGAATATAAGAGCATAAGATAGAGAAATATGATTTGAGTAATAAATTTTAAATAGTCTTTAATAATAACTGCCTTTCAGCACATTAATAGTAGCAAACCTACCACAAGCTGTAGGGCCACAGGATGATCACTTTATAAAAGAAACTTCCAGAAGACAATAGTAGAAAAACTTTGTTTTGCATCTGTGTTCATTGTCGAAAAGCTTGGAAAGGTTGCCCTGCCAGGAACCTTTTTATGGGTGAATCGAGCGCTCTCAAATCAGCATTTGTTAAGAGTTTAGAGAACAAACAGACAATATGAAAGCAAGTTGCTGGAACCAGATGATGTTCATCAAATAGCTTGATAGCAAATGAGGAATGAAGTAATCTTACTACATGGTACATAGTGACTTCTATAGCTAGACACCTCTAAGTCGTCGGATATAAATGCAGAGTGAGACTGATATTAAAAGGATGTTTACTCAGGATGTTGTCTGTGCTGGTGAGAAACTACAGTAACATACAGAATTGATGGACATGTGGTACTTGTAATAGATTGCAGAAAGGTCAGCAGAGCTTTGTGAGTACAAGTTGTGCCTCAAACCTTTTGAAGCTAACTGAGGGAGTCAGCAAGAATACACGTAAGGAAGTTCCACTTTGCTATGGTAGGTAGGATTTCCAGAAGTCATTTGGTAGCCTTCTGCATGAGAGAGGTGGGACCTTGTATGGATAATTAGTTAATACTTAGATAATTAGAGACAAGAAATGAAGTGGATAGGATGCTTTTCAGAGGTGAGTAGTGCTGTTACAAAAGTATTCAGGGTAGAAGAATTGAAACTCACCTTTGAATAATTGCGGTTAACTCCGGAGTGGATGAGCACTGGCAGTTAAGCTGAAGTGAGGCATCTGGAACCTAAAACTCCTTGCAGGAAGGAGTTGAGATTACAATAGGTAGTTGTGTGGGAACACCAATTTCAGCTCAGAGAGTAAACTGTAAATTGCTAGGATAAAAACAGAGAATAAAACAAGATAGGCTGTTGCGGACTACTGATGCCTCAATCTTCGGGGATCACAACCCAGAAGGTCGTTGTGATCTTCCTCGTATATCAGAAGGCTCTAACACCCTCCAAAGGTCCTTGTCACAACCAAAGGTTTCTAACAGAGAGCTTCAAGACGCTGCTCTCCAGGGGCTCCTATCACTCCAGTCTCCAGGAGGGAACTGCCCCACTCCCTCCTGGGAGTGCCCCACCTTTAAACCCCCATGAGTCACGTGGTTTCCGGTTGACCAACGTGACTCACAGCACCTGTCCTAACAAGGCACAGGTGCTTTCTATTGTAGTAGCCAGGAACTCCCCCGACATAGGCCATTGTCTAGATCCATGGTGCGTTTGCATTTGACCACTGTGTTGGCGCAGGCATGGGAGTGCTCTGGGAAGAACAGTGCTTATTTCTGTGTATATCTAGGTGACAGATGTTTGTCTTAGTGAGGGTTATAACACCGTGGGGGTTTTTTGGGTTGTTTTTTTTTTTAACCCCCCCCCCGCAACGTCTTCTGAATGCTAGAGTAGTTTTGATAAATATCTCAGGTTCTTTGTTCAAAAAAATATTGTGATGTGTTTCATGTGATCAGATCAGTATGATCACAGTCCCTTTCTTCTCTCCCTTTCACCTTATGTTGGTACTGAAGCTTTTTTTACCTCCCAGAGTGTTTAGGGAGCTGTACCAAAGACTAACCTTTCTGAAAGTATAAAATAAAACAAACACATTGGATGTTTTATCTTCCTGTACAGGCTGTTTTTGGGACAAAGAGATGCCCATGTGACAGAGAGGTGTGCATGAAGCGGGGGAAAGAGGAGAGAAAAAGATGATCTGATCACTAGTACTGGAAAGGGCTGTGCTTAGCAGGGAATCTACCACTACACTCAACACCTGAGGATACATCTATTTCAAAGCCTCTGGAAAATGAAGACTGGAGCGCTGGGTATTAAACTGTAGAGTAAACTTGGCAATGTCAACTAGGGCACTTGAATCTTCTTGATTCCCCCTGAGTGCAGGGCCCCCTGAGTCCTGGGATTTATGCAACGGGCAAGTATCAGCCAGGTGGAGACCACTGGGGAACTAAAATTTGAATCTGGAGTCGGTGTTCAGACTAGTAATGGAGTTTCACGAGCAGCCAGTATCCTCCTGCAGTTTGGTAGGCTGGAGTGGAGGACAGGACTCTGATGGCTAAGGAAAATATCTGAGGATGTGGATTTACAATAATTTGAACAGATCAACATTGCAGCTGTGGTGTAGCCACCTGGTTAACAGTTGTAGTCCCTTTCTTCCCTCCCTTTCACCTTATGTTGGTACTGAAGCTTTTCTTACCTCCCAGAGTGTTTAGGGAGCTCTACCAAAGACTAACCTTTCTGAAAGTATAAAATAAAACAAACACATTGGATGTTTTATCTTCCTGTACAGGCTGTTTTGGGACAAAGAGATGCCCATGTGAGAGAGAGGTGTGCATGAAGAGGGGGAAAGAGGAGAGAAAAGATGATGCTTAAGACTGCTGTGATGGACAGCTGTTCTCTTTAAGACATGTTGCTGTTCCTTGAGCATATTTAGCCTGTACTCTTACAGACATGGGATACAGGGACCTGCTGTGTGTAACAAAATACATTGAGACCAGTCTCAAGAAGCATTTCTGGTATTAAAAAAAAAAAAGTTTTTATTAATTCTCCTTCAGATAAACCTGACAATTGCCATAAATGTGAATAATTAAAGATTCAAGTTATAAATATTTCCAGTAATATAGAGAGTACTTAATTTCTTTTTACAGAATATCCTTGGTTTTTCAAGTTTATGGTGTCCTAGTTAGTAAATTCTACTCTCCCTAGAATTTTGAAAACCAGTGTGATATTTGAATGTCTTATATTTTCATAATTATTTGTAACTCATAAGTAATAAAAGAACTCTGAACCTTACAACTGTCAGCTAACAGTCAGATTTGTATTTTTTATTTCATGACAGGATCTGGAGTTTCATGGAGTAATGAGATTCTACTTTCAAGATAAAGCAGCTGGAAATTTTGCAACAAAATGTATCCGTGTCTCTAGTACTGCCACAACTCAAGATGTGATAGAAACTCTTGCAGAGAAGTTTCGACCAGACATGCGAATGTTGTCGTCACCTAAATACTCGCTTTATGAGGTGCACGTCAGTGGAGGTTAGTGTTTATTCACAGTCTTTCCTGAATCCGCACCATGTTCCTGTCCACCCACACCCACATCTTTAGGTTTGCCCCTAGCTTCTGAACCACATAAGGCCTGGGTGTTTTGTTCCTCAGTATGTTGCTACTAATTTTTATGTGGGGGAGTGGTGTTTCAAAATGCGAGTATGCGTATCAGGCCTGCAGTTTACATAAGTTTTTATTATGATCGATTAAATGCTATACTTGACATCCTGTTCATTTGTTGACAGTTGTGAAAGAGTTGCTATTTTTAGGACTAGTAGATAAAGACTAAATTTATAGTGGGAGAATAGGAGTGCTAAATTGGAGCGCTTAAGAGTACATCTTCAGTTATTCTTTGATGTTATGGGCCTTTGATAGGTGGCCTTATAACACGTGTTCCTTTACTGCTAAACTGGGAAAGTTCAACATAGTGTTATCTGAAACCACTGTGTTTCTTAAACAGATCCCGTCATGTTACCTCTGAAGAGCTCAGATATCTAAATAACCTTTTGATGCTGCTAGCCTTTGTGTCTCCACACGCCAGTAGAAAGCTTGGGTTGGAAGGTGGTAGTGTGTGTGATGGAGATAGGAAACAAGCTTTTTGTTGTGCTTTGTCTTTTTTGTACTTTGGAAGCTTACACAAGTAGTTTAGCTACCTTAAATTCTGCTTTTAAAAGACTGAAATAGTTTAATTTGAGATAGAGAATGGAAATTTGCTGGGAAGTGTGTCACTTTTCATGGTCTACAAATGATGACTTGATGTGAATTATAAGAGATGAAATGAAAGTGCATGTGTCATCACTATTTAAGCAATGAATAGTATGTGGGTTTTCTGCTTTAGGTTTTTTAAAAAAATCTGTTAGCATTGTACCTGTAGTCAAAATGAAATGATTTCTTTTGCAGAACAAGTTCTTGATGTTTAAAATGTCGCTCATAAGAGAGGCACCTCATTCAATATGAGTGTTTCTCATTAAATAAGATGTAACTGCAAAGATGACATTCATAGAATCATAGAATCATAGAATCATAGAATCGTTAGGGCTGGAAGGGACCTTCAAAGGTCATCTAGTCCAACCCCCCTGCAAGGAACAGGGATATCTCCAACTAGATCAGGTTGCTCAGGGCCTCAAAGACATAGCAAGACATGACATTGTCTTGCTATGCACATATACTGTCTCCAACTTCTAAAAGGGAGACCAAGTGGCAAAACTTGTTTATTTTTTTTAACCACTCAGATTTTTTTCATATACTTAAAATAGATATAATATACTACATGAAATTTTGTCTAGTGTATGTGCATAATGGATTTTTTTTTTTTCATTTGATAATCTGATTTATTTTTGTGCAGTCTTTTCAGAATAGTAGTTCTTAGGCCTCAGTCAGACTGGTTAAATTTAAACTAGGAAAGATGAGTATTTCGAAGTCTCATGAAATTACAAAGTTTCAGACATTTTAACTGTAGATGCAACTTCTCCTCTTGAGTGATAATCTTATGTTCCCAGATGTCAGTTCTAATGAAGGAGGTATGCAAGACCACTTTATGTAGACTTTTAGCTTATGTAAATAGAGGGAATACACTTACGTTGGTTCCTGTAAAGGGGACATATATTTCTACCTCCTGACGCTTTCTGTCCCTGTACTTTGCACATCAGTTATGTTTCCCTGTTCTGTTCAGCAACCTTCTGTTTTTTTTAAGAGCATAACTTGTTTCTAAGTATCTTTACTATTGAGGTGCCAAGTAACTGTTACTGCTTTTCATTTCTTTTGAAGAAGAAAGAAGATTAGATGTAGATGAGAAGCCTCTTGTTGTACAATTAAACTGGAACAAAGATGATCGAGAGGGAAGATTTGTTCTCAAGAATGAAAATGATACTCTTCCTCCAAAGGTGAGTCTTTAAGAAGGAGTATGCTAGTGGTAACAGCAGTTTTGAAAATGTGTGGGACTTGCTTATATAGCAAAACATAATTTCTGCTTTTCTAACTCCTGAAAACAACTACTGATGATGACCTTTGATATCTGAAGCAAGTTTTTTTAAATACTTAAAATGCATCTGTGCAGCACAGCATTTTTGTGATCTTTCAGATGACTTGTGATGCTTTGATCCATGTAGCTGTCTAGTACTGGAATATGTAATGCCCAGAGAACTTAAAGCTTCCTTTGTTCTAATAGATGAATTAAAAATTTTCTCAAATAGTATATGATGTCAAACACCCAGGAGGTAATACTACCTAAAAATTGTTAATTCTCTAGGTAATGCAAATATCTCCCTCCTCATGCAAAATGAGAGACATGTGAACATCAGTCATACAAAAGCCTTTTTTTTTTAATATATATATTAGTCATTTGAACGCTAAATTAAATCAAATCAGACTTTGGCTCCTGAAGTCATGTAATTATATGTATTATATCTAACTTGGATGCTTATAGCTATGGAAAACATACTGTTCAGTCTGGATTCTCTTCACAAGTTGTTCATCTTGGGCTGAGCACTAAATTCCTGTTGCTCTTGGAATTAGAGCTTGTTACTTTTAAAGGTGCTTTGGGTATAGATACATGAGCAATTTTTACACTTACACTATGTTTTTGACTACAGGATACATCCATGTTAGAGGTGGGGAGAGAAAATTAATCATAGAGTGATTTGAGTTGAAAGGGACCTTTAACAGTCATCTAGTCCAACCCGCCTGCAATGAGCAGGGACATCTTTGACTAAATCAGATTCCTCAGAGCCCCATCCAACCTGACCTTGAATATTTCCAGGGATAGGGCATCTACCACCTTTCTGGGCAACCTGTTGCAGTGTTTCACCATCTTAATTGTAAAAAAAATTTCTTCCGTATATCTAGTCTAAATCTACCCCCTTTTAGTTTAAAACCATTATTCCTTGTCGTATTGCAACAGGCCTTACTAAAAAGTCTGTCCCCATCTTTCTTGTAAGCCCCCTTTAAGTACCGAAAGGCTGAAGTAAGGTCTCTCTGGAGCTGCCTTTTCTCCAGGCTGAACAACCCCAACTCTCTCAGCGTTTTCTCACAGGAGAGGTGTTCTATCCCTCTGCTAATTTTTGTGGCCCTCCTCTGGACGCACTCCAGTAGGTCCATGTCTTTCCTAATCATGTCTTGCACTACATCTACCAGACTTACTATTCCTATTCGTTGAGTTAAATAATCTTCAATCTTTATTCTCTGTGTTCTTCACTTCTGATAGAAGCAAGAAATCCTGCATCTTCCTTCTCGCATCTTCTATTATTTTCTCTACAGAAGGCAAATGAGCCTAGGATTACAGGTATCTTGTGTATGTGAGAAGCAGGAATTGAAGAAGAGAACGCGGGAAGGACAACTCAGAAAAATACAGTACGGGGAAATGTCCTCTGTAATGTTTTTCCTTTTGCAGTTTATTATTGCCTGATGCTCCAACACAGTTGTCTTGAAAACAAATTAAGTGCAGTATTGTTTTGTGAAGTTCTTTTACTGGGAGGCAGAAATTTGTTTTGCAGCCTTCATTTGATCTTCGAGCCCAAGTAGATAGTAGGCATTATTCAAGTAAAATTCTGCTGTTTCTTCACTTTCTTGAGTACAAGGTGCTTAATCAGTTCATACCTGCTTTGGAATATGAAATTATTTTTGCCTTCTATGTTATTCCAGAGAGCATTAGTCCCATCTGTTTGTAATGCAATATTATTGCCTGAAGTATTGTTTTTGTGTTAGTGATAATACGTCTTAATCAGATTCCTCTGGAAAGTTAAAACCAATACTAACTTTTAATTGGACTAAAAATAATGGAATTTGTTTTAAACTCATTTATTTCAGAAGACTCAGAGTAATGGCCCTGAAAAACAAGAAAAAGAGGGAGTAATTCAGAATTTCAAACGAACTCTCTCAAAAAAAGAAAAAAAAGAAAAAAAGAGGCGTGAAAAAGAGGCATTGCGACAAGCATCAGATAAAGATGATAGACTTCTTCATGGGGATGATATGTAAGTGTTTTAAACTTTGATCAGATCATATAATCTACATCTTACTTTAAAGGATTCCCTTGTCTACTAAGTGAGTTGTTTCTGTCAAAAGCAAGTAGTTGACATGGGTGCAATAGCATCGTAAACCAAAATACGTGGTGGCAATTTCTGTGGTTTGTATATACTTTTTGCCACAAGGTTTGTTTTAAACTATGAAATAATTTTTTATTTCACCTCTTTATCCTTTTGCAGAAATTGACACATGCTTGATGACATGGACTTT